CCACCACAGGTGCGGGGTGGATTCAAAAGCCCATTGACAGCGACTACACGTTAGATCAAGTGAAACACCTCGTTGAGTTAACCAAACCGCTGAGGGGGTGGCTAAGTAGGACAGAAGCCAGAGAAGTGTTGCCTGTCTTTGGTTGGGGATAAGACGTATCTGTTCCCAACATTTAGAGACTGCGGTTCTGATCTCCTCTGGTGAGGTCTGCAGTACTTGTGATCATCTACCTACTGCAACCGCCAGAGGTTATCTTGGTGGACTGAGTATCCTGTACCCTGTCTGCGCAGAGTATTCAAGAATGGGGAGGTTCTCACCCTTACGTCCTCTAGCTCTCCAAGACCGTAGAGTAGGGTCCAATCTTATGGTTTCAATTGACTGACCTCTCGCAAACCCGGTGCATCTAAGCGAGCCATCCATACCTTCTTCCTCAAAAACTCTGACCTATTCCAAAGGTAGACCTAACTCGGGGTGAGTGCGGTCATCCTCTAGCTGCAACGAGTAGCTGGTTGTGGACTGAGTGGTCCAACACTGAAATATTTTTCTGTTCTCCGTGTGAGCAATGACCTTCCAAAATTCCTGCGGCCTGTGTGGCGAGTGGAACCAGGTACCCGGGGGGTCCAGGCTAGCCGGATCCAATAAGGCTTTCCAGGCTTCCGGTATTGCTGCTAGAATCAGGTATCTCATTTCTTCCACCCTCCTAAGGGAGCCCAATTTGGACTGAAGGTCCTGCGCTGAAAGCCAGCTATTGGTTAGAGTATCCCAGAGATCTTTAATTGTCGCCACTCCTTTCTCCACCCAGCTGCGTCCGAAGCTCCCTGCTGCAGTGTATGCCTTGATCCAGAGACCTGTGGAATCAGTAATGTGAGGATTCTCAAAAATAGGTTCATTAAGTGCTTCTTGTCTCGTAACCGGCAGCTCTCATGTGTCCGGTCTGAGCCGTCTCCATGCTTTAACGACCGGGCCCCAAAAGGGCGACTTTATAACCCTTCTCTGATAGAAGTATATTAGCAGCGCAGTCCATACGTCCTTTGGACGCGAGAGGTCTCATTCTTTCATCAGAATCTGTTCTCCTAACAAAATCCAATGATCAGCATTCTCTGATGAGATAGCCTGAATAATCCATCTCACCAACATTGCAGAGTTCAGTCTCTCCGGATCAGTTATGCATAAACCCCCCTCCTGCTGTGGGGATGTGATCAATTCCCACGCGACTTTGGAGATGAAGGAGTCTCCAGCTTCTGCATAAGGTTTCCATAAGAACTTGGATGCAAGTCTTCTCAGCATGGGGCATAATTGCTTTCCTATTCTACGGACCGCCCCTATGAACCACAGCAGGGAAAATAGAGAGGCATTGAGGACAATAGCTCGGCCGAAGATCGATAATGTGGGGCCGTCCCCCATGCGGCTAACCTATGGAGAGACTTTTGCAGTAGCAAGCCATCTTGATCTGCTGAACAATCGCACAGGGCGATCTGGACTCCTAGGAATCTCTCTGAGTTGTTGAGTTCCACCTGTTTCATACCCCATCTGAGATACGGTGAGTGGGACTCTGGCAGCAAAAAAAACGATTTATGCCAATTGACTGAGGTCTCCGACAGTGCTGAATATTCGTCTAAACAATGTTTGAGAGCACCCAAGGATTCTACGCTATTCCTGGAGATAGCTAATAAATCGTTTGCCAGAGCTTTCGCAAGACATTCCCGGTTTCCGGTGGGGAGACCCTCAATCTGGGGTGGGCTCTAATGTTATTCAATAGAACTTCTAGCTGGATGACGAAGTTCAGAGGAGCTAACAGGCAAACCTGCCTGAGGGAACGGGTCAATTGGAATTCTTGGGAAATATTCCCAGTCACCATGACTGCCGCAGTTGAAAAGACATACAGAGTAGAGGTCCAGCTGCAGAAATTCTCACCAAAATTCAACCATTTGAGTGTGGAGAGGACATACGACTAGTTAACCCGATCGTATGCCTTTTCCAAATCAAGCAGTAGAACCATCATGTCCATCCCCTCATCCGCAATTACCTCCAGTGCCTGAATGGCTGTGACGATATTATTGAAGATCGAGCGCCCCCTCACGAAAGCCGCTTGGTGACAGCGATTTCGTCAAAATGGACATTTTATATTTTTTGAACGAAATTGAAATTGACATTTTCATAGTCATTTTGGGTCAAGTCTGCATTTCTTACCAAATCAGGCAGCACCGTCCTCCTTGACCAAATCAGGCAGCACCGTACTCAACCTGCGTGCCAACATTTTAGCTAAGAGTTTGTAGGAGACGTTCAGCAGGGCGATCGGGCGGTAGTTCCTTACCTCAGATCTATCACCTTTCTTATAAAGCACTGAAATAATACCTTTCCGCATATTCTTGGCCAATTTACCCCCTGTGAGGACCGAGTTATAAAGTTCTACAAGACTGTCTCCCACTGCGTCCCAGATGGTGAGATAGAGCTTGACCGGAAGTCCATCGTCACCTGGCACTTTCCCATGAGCCATTACCTTGAGAGTGGCTTTCACTTCTTCATTTGTAATGGGTCTGTCCAAGAGGAGTCTAGCAGCATTAGGCAGTCTAACCGTTGTGTTGTCCCAATGGGAGGACTGGAGGAAAAGATCGCAGTCCACATCCTGGCCTTGTAAACGGGATGTGAGGATGTCTTTATAATATAGCGCTGCATACTCACTCAAAGATTTCAGACCCCTGGCCTTCGGCGCTTGTGAGTCAAATGGGTGACGGAGTTCATTAACGGGTTGTGATCCTCGCTGAGGGGCGAGTTTTTGGAACGTTTCCTTACTCATTCTATCATAGACTGCTGTACCTCTGACTCTCAGCCTTTCAGACCACAACTCAGAGTTCTTTTGTTGAAGATTATCCCAGTGTGCTAACAACCTTACTCTCTCCTTACCCCAGACCATGCGTGAAATGGGATGTCGAGCCATTTTTGCCTCAACCTCCTCTATTCTCCTTATGCGAGAGGCTTCCTCCCTGTTTCTCTTCGCAGCTAAAATCCTGGAGAACACATTCAATAGGTTAGAAAAAATAATCGAACCCGTGTGCCACCATTCGTCGATCGAAGCGAAGCGACTCTTCTCTTGCTCCCAATCGGCCCAGTAGGCTTTCATCCAAACAACCAGGCCTGAGTCCTGAAGATTTTGAATATTAAATCTAAAATAGCCTTTGCCCCTGGCTCTAATTGAGGTATGTAGCTGAAGGAGAACAGGTTTGTGGTCGGAGAGTGGGTGAGAGTGCACCTTGATGGAGTCGACTTGCTCCCATAGCTCCTCCGATATTAAAAAGAAGTCCAATCTTCGGCTAATGATTCTGGTTCTCTCCTGATAGTTAGAGAGCCACGTATAACCGTCCTTCGTTAGATGAGACAGTCGGTACGGGTGAACTAGGGAGTGTTTTTCCATTAAGTTAAGGAGTGTTGCGATGTCAGCTGGATTTTGGCTACCAGGTTTAACAGTTGCCAGATCCAGTGAGACATTCCAATCTCCTGTTACGATTAAGTTAGCACACTCCGGAATCAGATCATCCAAATGCTCGAAGAAGCTAGCTCGTTCCCTCCTACCTGTTGGATCATAAACATTCACAATCAGTCATTCTTTGTCCTCAACCCACAATTTTAGCCATACCCATCAACCCCAATGATCTGCAAGGTAATCCAAGATCTCAAATCCTGCGTCTCTATGTACTAGGATGGCTACTCCTCCTCTGGTGCCTTGAGCAGGCGACCAGATTTGGGGACCGTCCCACCAGGCACCTAGTTCGTTAACTCTATCCTCGCTTAACTTTGTTTCCTGTACACAGGTCACTTGAACACCTTTTTCATGAATCCAGGATTTTAATCTAGCTTTCTTAAACTTACCTGATGCATCGACCAGGCCTCGCAGGTTCCACGTGGAAAACCGAATTCTACCCATTCAGTCCTTGTCCCCCGGCTCCTTGTTGGATTGGGACGGTTGTTCCAGATGAAGCTGGCTGCTGCTCCCACGACGCAGATAGAGAATCCCTGACAAATTTGGAGTTGAGTTTTTTATCTCTCGGCAGTTTCCCATTGATTTCTGCCAGAAACTGTCCAGTACCGAATGGAGTAACTCTGATCCTTCGGAGTTCTTGTCTTCTTCCTTCCACGAACCAACAAAGTGGTAGGAGCCTCATCCCCTCTTGTTCGAGTTTAGTGAGTTGAGCCATCTCCATACGAGCATCGAAAATCGGGGCGAAGAATTTCAGCTTCCTTCCGTTCGCCAAATCCAGAATAAATCTAGCCATCGGTACGTCCGGAATCGGGCGCACCACAAATTTTCCCCTCAGAGCCGCCTGAATGATGTTAGCCACCGCGGTTGGCATGGGCTGCTCTTGCGACGATGTACTAAAGAGTTGAGGGACTCCATCAAGTCCACTCCAAGCAATCACCAAAAAGGACTCCTTCGCCACGAGACACATGATCGACAGGATCTTGTGCTCTACATTCTTGAGCGGTCCTCGGCTCAAGGCTGTTGGTGTACGGCTTCTCGTGGTCTTCATTCCAGGTGTTACAATTACTGTGGCCTGCTCTCCCGAGTCCTCCGATCTTGGAATGGAAGAAGACGAGTCCTCTCTTAGAACCTATCGGCCCTCGCTGTCTACTCTTATGTGCTTCCCGGGGGTGCCGCCTGGGATTCTGCCTCCAAAGGAGGCAGATCCGGGCCGGTCGACACCTAGGGGCGGCTGACTAGTACTCGGGCCACCTCCGGAGCCCTCGTGTAGGTTCCCTTGACCCCCTCCTGGGAAGAGGCAGGCTGGACGCAGTGTGCCCTGCATGCCTTGGTAGGGTTGGAAGCCCCCTACATAACTCGGCTGAGCTGACGGAGGAATGACTCCAGATGGCTGGACTGTTGGAAGAATACCGCCTGATTGGGCTAGCACCATTTCTTGAAATAACTGAGCCAGGTACGCGTTGGGTTGCAAAAATTGAGTAATCCCCATGAAGGTTGGGTTCAGGTAGACATTCGCGAAGCTCGTTTCTGGAGCACGGTTACCAGCTTCGCCTACAGCCGATGCCGCTGGTAGACCACTGCTTCCACCTCTACCCAGCGGGCCTTGGTGCACTTGACGGAAGAAGCCTCCTGAGTCGGATCTGCTCTGCCTCCTTGACCACCGATATTGCCTTGTTGCTGACGTGGGCGACCTCCCCTTCTACATCCTCTGCCGAGTGGAAAAATGCGCGGCACTTGCGGCATCGTGGAGTGTCTGATGATGCCATCTTGACCACCAACTCATCACCCTCGAAGGTTTCGACAGTGATCGAATCCTTCATGTTTGCTCTGGCTTCCGGATCCAAATCGAATTTAATGTTGACCAAGGCCGGTTTTAACCGATCCTGCTCCGGCGGGTGCGTCATAGTGACTGGACCAATGGCACGCCGTATGTGCGATTCTAGGTAAAACATGGCGTCTAAGGGGAGTTGAACAGCAATGACCCAAAAGGTCAAGAGTTTGTCTGGCCGTCGTTGTTCCTTAAACTGCGCGTTAGTCAGCCAAAGCTTGAACTCCAACTTGTAAATCTCACCCGCCAGTTCCACCTCCAAAATTCTTTTGTCCACCATCCACGCACAAATCGTCGTGCTCTTAGCAACGTACGAAGCCACATTAAGACTCTCCACCTTCACTCTCCCTCTGTTGAAGCCCTCGCCAAAGTCGCCTGTCTGAACTTTCACGTCTTCAAAGACCTTGATAAGATCCTCCTTGATATTCCTTGGGAGGAAGCGAGCTGCATCTCTGAAGATCACCGTGACCGTCCGCTCCTTAAGCCACTGAGCCTTCAGCCTGTCTATGGCGTCCTTAACCTTAAATCTAACGTTTCGGCCTTGTGTCGTCATTTCCTCGGGGTCAATGTCCCTGGGGAGAATGTCTTCCTCATAGCACAGGCGAAGGAGCTCTCTGACTCTTGAGTCGTCGATTTCATGATCACCCGGGGCCGCGGCAGGAGATCTGTTCTCCATCCCTACGTCTGTTCCTGGATCCATGAGAGCATCAACTGTCACTTAGACTTAGGACGAAATGCGAGGGTTACGTAAGATGCGAAGGAGAGAACAGGGGTGACGAGAAAATCTCGAACAAGGGAATTCAACCAGTATTCCATAAACTGGGCATAGAGTGTGGACAGGATGTCTGCTCTACCTAACAACAAAACACGAGGAGATAAGGATGAGACTGCAGGCGCTGACGTAGGATGATGATGGCGATGGTGAGGGGAAGAACACGCTAGGACACGTGGTGTCTAACTAGCAGGGAATCGACCTTCGTCAACTTCCCTGTTACCGCTTCGGAGAGCGGAATAGGTGACCTCACTTCCAGACCGCCGTCCTGATGGCGGAGGAGCGGTCGTCCTTGGTTCTCCGTTACCGGTCGAACAGCGCTTGGTCCGAGCGCAAAGTAGCGCCGACGGAAGTGCTACGGTCCTCCCCCCCCGGGCCTCACTCCACTGCTCGCCAAATGTGAAAACTGAGAATGAATCTTTCCGTGGAACCTTTCTTTTTTATTGTGAGACCTGCCAGCATTGATTGCCCTATCTCTAGGGGATTTACTGAGCAGGTGTATGTATATCATAATGATGTGGCCCTTGTTTTCCGTATATCCTCACCCTCGGGGGGTTGCCAGATGTCCCATTAAGCTCTGATACTACTTCCGGAGGGTGTGACATGCAGCTACCTAGTCTATGTAATCTGAGTAATAAAGCAGACGCTGCCCCTTGTATCCCTTCATCCCTCGGAATGGGGGGGGGGCAGATAAGTCCCTGAATGCTGATACGATTCTGAAAATCCCTCCGATTGCATTCCTATTGCACCTTGCAGCGCGACCTGCTCCTTACTGCATGTCATTGTATGGTGCGAGACTTCTCCCCTAGGGGGCTCTAGGGGGGAACTTCGCCAGATGCATGAATGTCACCTTCATTCAGGATAATATTTCTGTTAGTGTGGAAAGGGGTCCTGGAAGTCGGAGGGGGGGTGTAATGGGAATGAAGATTCAATGTTTGTCCAATCCTTAAAGACTAACTTATAATCCCTTATTTCTTCCAGATTCTGCATTCCCTCTCCATTGTCGCCACTCCACTCCACTTTCGCTATCCATCCCTCTCTGTCCCCTCCTACCCAATCTGAGCAGAATGTTCTAACCTGTCTTCTAACATCTCCGGTTTGTTTTAGCAGGTCGAGTTGAGACTTTGTATCCAACCATTTACGTGTAAGCTCGAAATGGACCTGTTGTCGGATTTGTTCTGTAATCTTTGAGCTGTCCACCCGTACTTTTTCCATTGTCAAGGTGCACCTTTGCCACCACAGTGCCCATATCACCGCTCGCCTTCCTATTCTGTACATATTTTCAATGAAGTCGGTGGCTGTTTCTGCCTGGGGCCAGTGGCCAGCCAGTATTGCCTCCCATGACCACAGTCAGGGGATATTAGGTTCTAATTTGCGCCAAACGCGATCCCACCATCTCCATGTAAATTGGGCAATTGGGCATTGCATGAAGATATGCTCAATGGTCTCCGCTTTCTTGTGGAAGGGGAAAAGTTCCTGGCATCGCTGACACCATGGGAGGAGCAGTCCTTTTCGTTCCAGATTTGTTCTATCGACCAACCAATCATTTGTTGGCAGACAGCGATGAACTATTTGCATTTGCAGGGACGTAATTTTCATAAGCTTATGTTTCTGTTCCTTAAACCATTTGATTGGTGATAGTAAATTACAGTCGATGTTCAAATGTCGGGCCCATCTGTCCTTAATTACGTCCTTCAGGTTTCTCTTGGGCCTAAGCTTGTTATATGTTGTTTTGACTGTTAGTTGTCGCAGGGTGGTGTGGCCTTTCTTCGTTACCCCCCTCCTTTGGGGGAGCTGCCAATTCCATTTTGCTGGGTCCAAAGGTAAGTCCAGGATTGGTTTATCTGGCTGGTAAACCTCTCTACGTCTCACCTCTTCTAAAACTCTCACCCAGTATACTGCAGCTGTGTAACCGTATGAACGCGGTGAACGCGCGTTCACGTTCAAACCCCCCAGCCCCGCGTTCAATCGCGTTTAAATGTGCTACGCGCGCGCGCGCGAAAAAATTGAATGCGGTGCCGCGAGGCGCGCGTGCGCGACGGGGGCCACGGGGTGATGGTCCGAGTTCAACAGACCCCCGAAGTGCGAAAACCGACCCCCTAGGCCACCCGATAGCCCCCCCGCCCCACGGCCCCCACCCCAAAAACCGCCACCTGGCAAGCGCCGACTCCCCTACCCCCACCCAACGGACGACCACCCACTCCCGCCACCTCCCCTCTAGCCGTGTCTCTGCGCCACCCGGGGACGTTTTTTTTTTTTTTTTTTTTTCCCGCCCACAATTACAACCCTCCAAACCACGCCACCCATTTACACACACACACACACGGACACACACACATATTTACACACGCACATACACACACAAACAATGCCAACACGTACAACCCCCCAAACTGCGCCACCCATTTACACACACACATAATCACATTCACACACACACACACAAACTGCGACCTTTCGTTTAATTTTTTTTTCAAACTATCTTTTTTTTTTTTTTTTTTTTTTAATAGCGCAAAACATGCGGTTAGAGAAATTTTAAAAAAGGGTTGCAAGCAAAAAAAAAAAAAGGTGGTTTGGGGGGTTCGGGGGGCGGGGGGGGTGGCGGGGGCCCAGGGCCGGGGCTACGGGAGGGTTTGGGTTATGAGGGGTCTAGAAGCACTTCGGGGGAAGTGAGATTTCAGAGAAACCAAGGGCGGACTCAAAGCATACAAAACACTCGTCGTCTGAAAACAGAAACATTGCAAATGACAAGATGTAATGATCGAAGCAAAACACAAACCAATATAGCATGGATAATAGCAAAAATCTGACACATCTTGTCGAAGGCCCGCCGGTCTGTGGAAAGAAGTACCAACCCAAAAATACTGACGAAAAGTACACTAAAATACACTGGAAAGCTACAATCTCCGAAGTAGCAAACTGCGCAGAAAAATGCCTACTGGAAAGTACACTATAATACAACATTAGGAAACACTACGTCTGTCATGGATAACAAAAAACTAAACTCGAACGAAATGGCCATGTACTCCCAAGAAAGTAGAGTAGAATACAACATCACGAAACACCTCGTCCGTGGGACCGGCCACTGCCACCTCCTCGATGTCTCTAATGCTGGCCGCCGCGTCTGCCAGCGGAAGGCCGGGGAACGACAGGACGCTCGTCGGGGTCGTCGTCCAGAATGAGTCTCTTGCCTCTCACTGCTGCTAGGTCATCACGTCTCCGTGACTCGCATGCCATAGGTAGACCGTCTGTCCCTGAAGTCTCCCCCTCCTGGCGTCGATCTAAGGGCATGTGTCTCTCCTGCCTCGGTCGTGTAACAACACCAGGCTCCTGCAAAATAATCGACGCCTCTCTCAAACCGTACGTTAAGGGCGGATCAATTGCGCTCGTTGCAGCACCGCCTGCACCCTCACGTGTGCCATCGCCCTGGCCACCGCCGCCACCGCTTCTACCACCAAACCCTGAAGCTACAACATCTCGATGTCTCACACCCGTGGAAACCCCTCTCAAACCTTGTTGGCGACTGGCACTCGCCGTCGTCACCCGTCTCGTCTCGCTCCATGGTCGATCAGTGCGACCGAACAACATGGTGTCCAGCAACTCCTGCGCACACTGGGCAGTGTCTCTCCGTCTACGTGCAATCGACCTCGAGGTGAGACTGCCGCCCTCCCTCGGAGCTGCGGTCAAGGGTGACGAAGGGCGTGCGGCGCCTCCAGATGGCGCTGCGAACGAATCGCCAGAAGGTTAGTCCCCTGCGGCCCCGCCATATGCCGCTGCGACGGAACCTCCAGAAGGTAAGCCCCCTGCAGCCCCGCCAGATGGCACTGCGATGGAACATCCAGAAGGTAAGCTAGGGCTGGCTGGCCCCTAAGATAAGTCCTGCACGTGAGGCAGCTTCCCCTCCTCCGGGACTGACCTCAAAACGCGTTGGTCGATCTCCGTCAAATCCCTCCTGCCATGCTCCTCCAACTCCTCAGCGGTCATAAAACCAAAAGGGAGGCTGCCCCGAGGCGTGGCCACATACCTAATCTCCGGCCTCTCCCGTGACGGCGCAAAAGTAGGGACCGGGGGTATGCACGCGCCCCTGCCAACACGTCGCTCCTCAACCGGGCCACCGCCATGTGCACGACGACTATGACCCTCCAAAAATGGTGCCTGATGTGGCACCACTGGCCCCACAGCAGTGCGAACCACCAAAGTCTGTGACATCTCCTGGCCGTCCGCGTCACGCCTCTCCAACTGTGCGCGCTCTCCCCCGCCAGACGTGGACATCGGATCGGCTTGAGCAGGCACCCCCACCTCGCCACACCAACGGCCCCCGCTACGGCCCCCTCCCCACCAGTGGTCGCTGCTATCCCCTCCGCCTGTGCCGATGGGCGAATATCATCAACGCCCACTGACTGCCCCGTCTGTATGTCCTCCAGACCCGGGGACATCTGCACGGCACCCGAAACTGAACCCCTAGGCAGAGGAGTCTGAGGGACGCCCGTGACCTCATGCAAGGTCTCCTCGAGCCTCACCTGGACGGCAGGAGGCTGCACCGGCTTCGAACGTGGCTCCTCTGTCGGTGCCAATCCGCTCTCGTGCGTCCCCTGGCGAACATCTAGTTCCGTACTCAAAACCTCTCTTGAAGCCGCCTCTGGCTGCGGCGTGTCATGAACCTCTGCCGGAGGATCCGTGTGGCCAGCTGGCGCTACGTCAACGGACGCCGGCGCAAATGTCCCCAGCTGCCTCTGTCACTCCTCGGCCGCACGACGGGCGAGCTCCTGCGTCCTGGGGTCCCTCTGTGCCATGAGGCCACCTCGACGACTATCAAGCCTATCCAGCCTCTCTGCAGATGTATCTCCAGGGGGTGTCCGGTCCTCATCCCCCTCTGGCCCCAGCATCACCTCTGCTCGCATGGCAGGGGAGAAACCACTCGGGTCCGCCAAGCTGATCTGTCCCAACAAGTCCTGCATACCCACACTGATGTCCCCACGGGACTTGCTCTCTCCTCGGGACAGACCCACGCTCTCTCCCGGGGGGCATACTCAAGTCACCAAACTCACTGAAACTGGCTCGGCCCCCCATCATCGGTATCCGCTCATCCTCGACACTCCGAATCTCGTGCGCCTCAACCGTCGCAGCAACCTCTGCACCGCCTTCACCTCCGGCCAACGCACCACCATCTCTACCAGCCAACCCCTGTCTATCTCCGTCGTCCCCCTGCACCGGTGAAGAACCGACCTCTAATCTGTCCTGCAATCGCTGTCTCGGGCCCCTCACCAATCTCTGCAATCGATCGTCCCCGGCTGGCTGTCGACGAAGCTGCTCCGTCAATGTGAGAAGAGCGGTGGATGATGCCGTGCCAGTACGAACACACGCAGGACGATGGCCAATCCCCGACTCTGCCCCCCTCGAAGGTGCAGATGCAGTATCTCTCTCTCGCTCCAAGGACCGCGGGTCAGCGGACGTAGTCCTCTGACGATGTAGAGGGCTCTCATGACGACCCCCGGACTCCTCCAAATCAACTCCAACGAAAAGGTTATCTCGGCCACTCCGTCTCCAGACGTCCTCTGGGTCGCTCCACGCATCACGCTCATCCGCCGCAGGAGCGGCGGTAGCGGGGCCCGCCGGCTCGTCCTCGTCACCCTCGGAATCACTGTCACCGCGAGGGTACGAGTGCAATGTGGCGGCTCAAGTCCCGAAAACATCGCCCACATCACCCGGAGGAGCTCTCGACCCACATGGGTCTCGCTGCCAAGAACGTCTCAGCTCCTCGAGCTCCTCCCGCGTCCTGCTCTCATCCGTCCCCTTCCACGAGGGGCGAGTCCCGATACCTCCCTCCACGTCCAGCAATGACTCATCCAAAGTCCACGGCAGTGCGAACCCGTGGCCTGCCCGCTGATGAGAGAGAAGGCCGACGTTGGTTGAGATCTCAACCAACTTCACAACCTTATCGAACTCAAGTCGGTTATGCTTCTTCGTCTGTAAACCCTCGTGGACAGCCCAATTCCTCTCTGCAGGAGAGGAGCACATCATCATATACATCACACGAAGAGCGATAACCTGCAACACGGGGGCGCACTGCCCGTACCTCGACCACCAACACCCGGACTCGTACGTCTCCGCATCGCCCGTGCACCTCTGTGCATCTCTGTCTTCGTCCCTCCCCCCCCAAGCAATCGTCCCCCTCCGTGTGTGGAAGTCGCGCAACTGCACTCATGCGGTCTCGTAGTCGCGGCTCACCACACTGAACCCTGTCTGCGACAAGATGTAAGTCTTCGCCTCCCTCACCAAGCTCGCGTCGTAGTCGCTGACCACGCCCTCGAAGTACCGCAAGTCTCGGCGGCTGGGACAGAGAAGGTGAGCAATGGCGTGCGCCGACTCCAACATGTGAGTGCATCGGCCCTGCACCCTCTGCATAATGAGGTGTGCAAGATCGGCCGGAAGTGCAGAAACCTCCCTTGCTACCAGGCGGACCAGATCCTGTGTCCACTCAACAACCCGTGACATGTGCAGCCCTCCATGGTCCAACCTGCGCAGCAGGTCGTACACAGGCTCCATGACACGGAACAAGATGGCCATGGAATCCCACCAACTGCCATGCCGCACCTACCACCTTACCCACCTGGGCCAAGTGACGAACGGAATGGTCCCAAGGGACCATACCCCAAGTATCGCCATCCACCGTCCTCTCCAATGCTGACCTCACTGCCAGCAAACGCTCCACCATCGCGAACACGGATGCGAAACGTGTCTCGCAAGGATAAATAAGGCCCATCTGCCTGCTCTCCCCCCGGAAAATATGGAGAGCAGTGTCGTGCTCCTTAATGAAGCGCACCACCGCTCTCCCCCTCACGACGATGTCCTTCGACCACGCGCCCGAACAACGAATGTCTGACAACATCTTGTTGCAGACATGCACTGCGCATGGGAGCCACGTGATCCGTCGATGCTCAGGCCTCTGCTCGGGCCCCTGGAGCATGTTCGCCGCGACGACGTACGCCGAGGAGGAGTCAGTGCCGATGGCGTTCATCCACTTAGGGGGAAAGTCATCGAACACCTGGATCCAACGCGCCAGCACATCAGGCCACCGATCCCGCTCACCCTCCCTGTTCATCGTCCGGACGAGCATCACCCCACGCGACCCGCCGGCAAGGAAGTTAACGATTGGTCTAGCATCGCGTGACTTCCTTCCGTCTGACATGATGGTGGCCCCCGTGACATAGAAAGGAGCCCTGACCTCCGCGAGATCAGCTCCCACATCGTCCGCCGTGTAGACAATGGTCTCTATGTCCGCGATCTCATTCTCTGAAGGCCACAACGCCTTCACTAGCCCCGGCAAATCCCTGAAGTGTCGGACGACGTCCAACCACGGCTCGCTCCGGAAGACGTTGAATGCCAGGCGCTGACTGTACACAAACCGCAGCCACTTCTTCTTGAACTTCATCTGCGACTTTGAAGAGAATGACTCCGTGATCGTGTTCTGTCTCATCTTCTTCTGTGCTGCCGTCGGTCTGGCCCCCTCCTCTCTCTCCTTCCTTTTCCCCGCAGACGGACCCGCCTCTGCCGTATCCGCATTTGCCCGTGTACGAGCCGACACGTGCGCCGACACAAAGTACTGGCCCTGCTGCCCCCTCGGCTCGGTGACAATGCCCTTCCCTTGCTCCGTCCCTGACGACCCCGCCCGCGCAACCTCCTCGACGTCATCGTGCACGTCGATTTGCTCCTTCGCGTCCCTCATCTCTCCCTCCCCTCCCTCGTCCCATCGCGGATCCATCGCAGGCGCCGGACCGTGAAGCTCCTCAAACAGCTGGATCCGCTGTAGGAACTTGTCGGACATCTTGTACTCACTATTGAAGTGCATGTCGACAAGTGCCTCGTCGGTCACTTCCGGACATCCCTTGCCCTGGCGGCAATGGCGCGACGCCACAAACTGGTTGCCCTGGAACTCGTGCCCGCAGAAAACGCACTTCAACATGCGATTGCCGCGGAATCTCTCGCCAAGACTTAGCCCCACGCGGATGTACTTGTACATGCAGCATTTCTTCTACGCCTTCAGATTCTCATCCTCCCCCCCATCCTCAAACACCCTAGCCTGACCTCGCGGCATTGTGCCCGCTCACCGATGGGTGCACCAAAGTGGTCGGCCCTTAGCCTGTGCCACGAAGCTCCAACTCCCAGCGACCTCCCTTCCTCCCCGCACGAGGCCTCGTCATCCCACAACCCAGTGGCCCCTTACGCGCCGCCCTCCCCCCCCCCACAAGGCCTCGTCAGCCCACCACCCAGTGGCTACTGACGCACCGCCAACGCAGACCCGCACGTCCTCGAACCCCCCCACCGCCTGATCGACAGGGCGCAGCCCGCTGAAACGAATGCCCACAGCCCGCGTTTAGGAAAACTGAACGTGCGTTCAGTAAACGCGCACGCGCGTTCAAAAAATTTGAACGCACGTTCAAAAACAAAAAACGCGCGTTCAAATTTTAGTCCCACTGCGCGCCGCCGCCATCTCCCGCGCCGCTCCGCCATCTCCCGTGCCGCTCCGTTGACTTCCGCGAATGCCACCGCCTCGTCCTGATCTCTCTCTCTCTTTCTCTCTCTCTCTCTCTCTCTCTCTCTCTCTCTCTCTCTCTCTCTCTC